CTCATGCACAATATTCAATTTAAAGGGCAGCATATTAGGGGAGTGAAAAATGTTAAGGCTGATTCTCTTTCTCGTCTTCAGTGGCACAGATTCAGACAGGTCTTTCCAGAAGCCGACCAACTACCTACGACAGTCCGAGAATCATTTCTCAGACTCATCTACAACATCGAGCCCAAGAACTGTTAAACTTTTCCCAATCAGTAAACACGAAAAAGCTATATCAGGCAGCATTGCAGCAGTTCAGTTATTTCTGCGAAGTGTACAAGTGTAATCAATGTTGGCCACCAAATTCTACAGACCTAATTCATTTTGTAGCTTATCCTTCATTTAAGCAGTTCTCTTCCAAGCACAGTTAAAACATATATGGCTGCAATATCTTATTTTTGCAGAATCCAAGGTTTACTAGATACAACAAAATCGTTTATATTACAGAAGGTTCTACTTGGGTGGGGTCGCGTTAGCGCTAGGAAGGACATTCGCAAACCTATCACTATCAACATACTTCAAAGCATTTTGTCTATCCTCCCCCAAGTATGTAGATCTGACTATGAGTCGGTGTTATTTAGTGCACTGTTTTGCTCGGCATTTTTTTGGTTACTTTAGAATTGGGGAGCTCGTTCAGGATTCTAAAGACCAACCCGGTCATGCTATCCAAGCTAGTGATGTCAAATTAACAACCAACAATACGATTGTAATGTCCTTAAGTCACTCCAAAACTGATCAAGAAGGGAATGGGGCCACAATCACATTAATTCCTTCTAGTCCAATCTGCCCAATTCAGTTTCTGCGCAAATATTTACTTTTAAGACCACATGCTTATGGGGCTTTTTTCATTCATCTGTCGGGCTGTCAAGTGACCAGGTATCAGGCAGAGTCTGTATTTAAAAAGGCTATAGAAATGCTAGGCTTAGATACTAAAACTTACAAGACCCATTCCTTCCGTATTGGTGCTGCTTCCCATGCTTGGGCTAGTGGTACGAGTCAGCAAGGTATAGCGGTCAAGGGTCGTTGGAAATCTCAATGTATGTACCGTTATTTTAGAAAATGAGCTTTTAAATGTCATATGGTGCAAAATGTGCAGTTCAGCAAGTTAAGGTAGCTTTACCTTTACTGACTAAGACTACAGTTTTTCTTTTATGTAAGCTCAGGTGTAGGAGTGAAATATTGTGTACAGAAATTTTTGTATTGTTCCTTTTTTCTTGTTTTTCAACACGATTTTGTATTGTAGATATTAGAATTTGGATTGTGGGTTCTTCCATTGTTAAAAGTGCCTTTTGCCAGGCAAGGCAATCAGATTTTAGAGCCAACCTTGAACTAGAAAGGCATCATGCATCCATATTTTGGCAGGGTAAGGGGGGTATGAGATGGGCTGAAGTTATGCCAAAGGTTAAATTCTTATTAAAATTAGAAGACCCTCCTCAGATTTTAGTATTGCATTGTGGAGGCAACAATATTCCTGATGCTAGGGGTGACAAGTCAATCAGATTAAGATTAAATATTAACACAACCTTGGTCAGCTTGGCTAAGTTGTTGCCAGATACCATTTTAGTGTGGTCTCAAATCCTCCCCCGCCAGCATTGGCGTGGTGGTATTAACCAAAAAGCCTTGGACAAGGTTAGAAAACGCCTGAATAGTTTCATTGCTACGACATTAATTAGGTCCGGGGGGAAGTATATTCGTTATCCCGAAATCCACTTGACAAGTCCAGAATTGTTTGCTCCCAATGGAGTGCACTTGTCCGAGCTTGGCAACCGTTTGTTTTTGTATCGCCTTCAACAAGGCTTGCAGACATTTTTAACAAATCCTTCTGAAAAATTGTCACCAAAACTAGGGGAGTTTGGGCCTTTGCTGATCTATGACTAGTTAGTAGGTCATAGTTTGCCACAAATTGGTGGCTGCATTGAATTTATGAGTGCTACTCATTTGCATTTACATACCCAGTTTTGTTGAAATTTGCAATGCAGGCGATGCTTTCGCCATTAAAAAATTGTCTTGGCAAACTGCAATTTTTTCTTGTTATTACCTGCTGTTAATTGGGAATGCATTATTTGTTTTGTTTGGGGATGGGGGGTTTTCTATCGAAGCTACTGGTGGCGCAGACTATGCCACCGCATAGTCTCGTGGCGGCTTTCAGGCTTACCAGTAGGCTCAATGGATTTGCTTGACATATATCCGATTATTTTGTCTGAAACTCAATTATTATGCTGTGAACATCTGTTCCCAGGGTTCACCATTTGCATTTTAAGGGATGCCATATAAGGCTATATATTGATGCCTCGGCTCCCTCATTTTAAGCGGCCATGGCCCATTCAGCCAAATAAAAACAAATTCAATTTGATATTTTCTTGTTGTAATTACTTACTTTATTTACTGGGTATACTGGCACTCCCTGTTAACTTTCATCTTTTATAATTATACCCACAAAGACGTTTTTTTTTTTTATTTCCTTTTTCCCATTATTTCTTTCAATAGAAATCTAATTTGGAAGTTTTGATTTTGTAAAATGTAAAAGTAAAATAAAAATGTATTTTTGAAATTCTTCAAAAATTATATTGACTTGTAAGGTTACAGTTTTCCATTTTTCATCAAATTAAATGGCTTGGTCAAAATATGAAGTTGTTAAACTAAACAGATATCACTTAACCAGTGAGAGGGGCACCTATTTAAGGGGATGAAGAACACATGGTCATAAGTCTCCGATTAACTACACCATAGTTTTGAAATGTTAGTGCAAAATATTATTTAAATCATCTGTACTTCTGTTCAATATCTCAATAATAAATTTAGAAGCCTAGTGATAGAACCGCTTTAACATAATAAATTAATAATATACAAAATATCACAAAAAAAAAGAAACATTATTTTTTGTCGGTTCGAGGACCTTCGTACCCTAAAAAGTAATAGCGTTTCAAAAAAGCTTGCCTGACTAAATCAATAAATATATATGAAACGTATAAGTAAGGGAAGTGCAAAACGCTCTCGTCATCAAGGAGCGACAGGTTGAAAAAAAATTAAATAGAATAATAAGGATGGTTGCAGAAATGTTGAATTTTGAACATCAGAGAAAGTTTACGATTTTTTAACACTATTTTAAGGAATTTGTTATTTGCATCATTTGCAATCAAAATAGGCCCAAAAAATATATATCAATCAAGGCATATATATTTTTTTTATATCATCTGTCCTTAACATAACATTATAACTTCTAAACATAGAAAAACAGCGAAGCTCCTCAAATCTTTCTTTCCCTGTTAAAGGCATAAGATTTCCTTTTGTCTCCCGTTTCACTTTCTCTATTTAAACAGCATCCTCCGTCTATCTTAAACCGAAGTTCCACTTCTATGCTTTTCTCTTGGCTGATGTTATAGACAGATATTGCAGAGTGCATTTTCCAAAGGAAATCTGGACGCTATATTCTGAACCAATTCAAAGTCAACCTATGGATGAAATTTTTAGACTCGTAAATCATTTCAATATATAGTTTTTCTGTTAACGTCTATTTTCCAAACACCTGGACATTTATATATGATTTCACAAGAGGCATGACAGATCTAATATTGCACACTGGAGTAGAGCAGCAGGTGCCTGTTCCGAATTTTTGTAAAACAGTCTATCTGTTCATTTGGTATGGAAATTTAATTCTTCTAAACAATCCCCTTCCCCGACAACGTATATATACACTCATGCATTTAATTGTATATTTCCTTGATTGTTCAAGATTTGGTCATGAATTTGTAATTGTTCCATTCAGCAGAAAACAGTCAATTTTGTATCCAGTCGTCATTTATCCCCTAAAAATACACTTTTGAAACATTCCTTTAAAACCTGCGCCCACAAACCTGAGAGGTCATCTAGCCTGGTTTCCTTTCCCTAATTTGCCCTTTTATCTGTGAACTTGCCGTGGATGAGCCAGGGAACAAGGAAAAAGGACGCCGCCCATATCAATACGGCCAATAATATTTAAATTCCCAATGCACCGTACATCATTAAAACACAATGAATGTAGGGTATATTACAGGAAAACGGACAAAATCAACTCAAAGAAATTAAAATAAACATGCTTTCAAGAAAATTATTGAACATATTGATAGGTAGTTGCCAAAAAGAATTGAGGTGATCTGTCCCTCATCATTGCACTGTTTACTTTCCCGCTGCGTGAATTCATGTTTTTCAACCTTTTGTATTGGATTACAAGGATTGCGGCCGTGTCATTAATCTGACCTTAGTTAGGATATTATTTCTGAATTTTCTCAGCAACTTAATCTGTTATCTATCAAACAAAAGAGCATAAGCTGCCCTCTTTGAATTTGTTGACATTTTAAGGTCATTGAATTTCATTCCATTAAACCTAATTACTTCTTTTACATATAATCTACCGCAATTACATATGAATAATTCTTTCGTGTGGCAGCAATGAAAACTTGTAAGTATATATAAAGAGAGAGAAAAAAAAGAATAGACTGATTTATAAGGTATCTCAAGAATAATGGTATCTTGACATATCATATTGATTAACACAATCCTGGACCCAATTTTCTGACCAAAACCATTTCTCTTTAAAATATTGCAAGTTATGCTTATTGAATACAACTAAATTACCTATTCAACTACCATACTCTCTCTCTCTCTCTCTCTCTCTCTCTCTCTCTCTCTCTCTCTCTTTGTGACCTTAGTAAATATTCTTCAACAAGATTTATCGGCGAAAAATGTGCAAGTTTTCACAGAATATATTGTCACCGACGAAAAAAAGATGTGTCGATGCGTGACTGTACATTTTGTCGTCAGTTATGCTGGAAGAAGAAAACGCTCATCTCGGTACATATTGTCGCCGGCGACAATATGTACCGATGGACAACAATATGTGCTTTGAGAGCAGGTAAATATTGCTACCGACGACAATATGTACACAATGAAAATATATACCGTCACAAAACCTCTATTAGAAAAGTTTTAGCTTTTGGCTCAGGCTAACAAATGACAACAACAACACGAACAACTTAATCTTTATTCCTTTTTTACCAGGTAAAATGAATCTCATCCTGGGTATACGCCTGAAGTGTACACCTCTTATAATCTTATACACAATCTCCTCGTTGTGTCAAATGTACATAGAGGGCTCAAACCAGACGATTCAGCCTCACATTGTGCCCTGTCATCTAGAATTCGTGCACATCTCAGACAATTCGCTTGTTCAGCGGTATCTCGTGTTTCGCAAAGAAATCCGATAGCGTCGATGGCCACTGAAAGTATTAAAAGTATTTCAGTTGACAATAAAATTCAGAAAACTTTCAAAATGCTCTTAAAATATGATATGAAGTAACGAAAATGGGTAAATAAGTATAAGTCAAAACAGGAACACGCAATACTGTATGTGTACTTTAAAAGCGGACTTCATATTTTAGCGGCTTTGGCGTAGACAACAATGCGCTAATTCATGAATACCGCTAAGAAATAATTTATAAATACAATATACGGCACGGACATGCATAACGCTAATCCATGATTTCGCCAACAACTCCATACACAGTGATTGCGCTAAATTTTGAATATGCTAAGGACAAGGTGCGTTTGGTGCAAAATTCGGCCCCGTGTCAAAATTAAATAATACTTCTCAAAACACTTTGAGAGAGTATATATTTTCATGAAATTATCAATGTATGCATGTACAAAGCTTTTTTTTTTGTTTTATGTAAACGTAAAGGTAGCATAGTTAAACGATAACGTTGTGATATTTTGACGTTGCTTTATGCGACGTCATGAACAAGAATTTAACGTCTTGTTTTAAAATAAATCCAGCTTACGTGTATATTTTATAATGTACGTTAATTAAATCTCATTTTCATAAACGTACATTTCGATGTATTGGTATATATACATGTGATAGCATATCATGCTTTCTAAATTATTTTTCATAACTAAAGACGAATCTTTAAATCAATTGATATGGTTGGCTTTGAAAATTTTTGAATCATTAGGGGGAAAAAAAAGGGTGTATATGTACAGTACATTCTTAGCGGATTTCTCACTTTCCGCGCCTCGCATTGACACAAGCAAAGTTATTGGCTTTGTTTGTTAACTTGACGAACCGTAATTGCCAAGCTTTGCAAAAAAGACTTAAAGACCATAAGACTTTTTCTTGGATTTTTATTGCAGGTGTTCAAGAAAATGATTTTGTGTGTAATACTATGTCAGTATGGCTCGCAAGATTTTGGTCTTCCTGCTTATCTGCATTATATTTAAAACACACACACACACACACACACACACACAGTTTACTTCTCCGCAAATGCTTGACATTGCTTTTCTGTGGATTGATTTACTTAAGTTTAACTGTGTCTATATTATAATACTTTATTTGCGCTGTCCAGAGGCAGAGCCCATTCTTTTCCAAATAAGGAATGCATGGGAACCTTCGTTTATTCTTTTCTTTCAGCAGTTTTGGAAATATTCCAACATCGAATTATCAGCTTTTGATATCTTATTTTTCTCAAAAAATGCAGCTTATTCCGACACGAATATATTAGGATCTACGGGTTATTGAACAGACAGCATGTTTTAACGATGTTTTAACTTTCACATTAATTCATCCCCGTGGTGGACAAGGAGTAAAAGGTATTACCTGGTTCATAGAGGATTTCGCGGAAAAGAAAAGAAAATACACTAGTACTTCACAGTAAAGAAGGATTTTTCGCGGAAAAGCAATGTCGACTCGCGGAAAAATGTAACAGCGCAATTAAGGAATTTTCCTGTGATTTTTCCTAGAAAAGGGAGTGAGGTGTTCCATACCAACTCAAAAAAAAAAAAAAAAAAAAAAAAAAAAAAAAAAAAAAGATCGACCCAAAGGAGAAAACCTTTTTAAAAAAATGAAAACTAACCCTAACCCATCCTCGCAAACCAGGGGTCCTGAGTCCGTTGGACCCCTGGCATATTTCATTCAATATTCATGGACTTGCTTCTCTCATTGAGAAGCACCAATCAAATTAAAGTTTTCATAAATAGTTAGATAAGGATTCAGTTGACACCTCAAATTCACGTGTTACAAGTAGTTTATCATACAATGGCTTAATGTGATTGGTTGAGAGATAAGAAGAACAATCAAGATTTGTAATTTTTTCCGAAAGACGTCGCTACAGTCAGCCCACAAATATTGAATGAAATATGCCAGGGGTCCAATGGCAACAGGTGACTCAGGACCCCTGGCTTGCGAGGATGACCCCAACCTGAAATACCTATTTTGAAAAGGAGGTGTCACTTTACCTTCCTACATATCATACAAAATTTACAAAGTTTTCTTAACCCTTCCCATTTCGAATTTTTTGTATTTTTACTGTATGAATTTTGTACAAGTGGTGGGTGTTGGGGTGGGGTCCGGATACACCCCCCCCCCCTGCGTATCCTTACTACTTCCTCTAAGTAATTGATACCTTTGTGACGACAACCTACGCAAGCGGGTGTTTCAAGGGAAAAAAAATAGACTTTGAGAACATTTTATCATATAAAGGTTCCATTATGAACTAATCTAGATTATTTCAAGGATAAAGTGTCTGCCTTAAATTATTTCCCCAGGAAAATTGTTCAAAGACAATCAAATGTTAGTGAACAGATTTCACTGTTGTTTACTTATATCAGTAATCAATGTGTAAATACTGTATTCAATTACTTTATCTTGGTCTAATAAAATGTTAAGAATACCTCAATTTAATATTGTGAACCTAAGTTAACCCTTGAAAGTAGATGGTCTTTTGTTCATAACAAACAGAAAGAAATATTAATTTTATTTTGTTATTCGGGGAAAGGAAACAGATAGTACAGTTGATACTTTTTACATGTTTTATGGGGGGGGGGGGGTCTATTCAATGAGAACTTTGATTACATGAAATATCTATAGTTTCTGTATCACATATTGTAGGCGTAGAAATTAAAGCAAAATATTTCTATATTCAGTTATTGATGATTACCGGTAATTAAATGTATATTTTCAAGATGACAAAAATTAAAAAAAGGGGGAAAAAGTTGTCGTGGGAAAAGTATCATGTTCATCGTGGTAATGAAATTTCAAGTAAACCTTTACCATTTATACATGTAGGGGGTAGGTTAAGATTTTTTCGATATGAAACATTTTTCCAATTCGAATCAGCATTGAAACTACATGCCTGAACGTTACGTGTGGATAAACTGAGAGTATAAACAGATTAAACAAACAAAATGTACACAAGGAACAAAAATCTCAAACAAGGGGAAGGGGGGGGGGGGGGCCGGCACGCCGGTGCTGGATCCGCCTTTGAATACATATATATTATTATAACAGTAACTCGATCCGAAGAGCCGTATCACGTCAAGTTGACAGGCGCGGATCATCAGATCAAACGAGACGCGGTGCCTGATGATCAGCACCGTGGAATCCATTTCACAATAAATCCAATGCTTATACATCGTAAATGCATTTATTAAATAAATCATTTTCTATGTTCTATGACACCCTGTTTATATTTTATTTTAATTTTTCCCTCCAGTTAAAACAATTTACAAGAATAAAATCAGCTATATTTTTTTACGATCACTGCATTACATGTATGAGCCCCGTTTGAGAATAGTTCACTTATGCACAGAGATCAGTGGATATAGTTTATCATTTCTTAGCAAAGATTTATAGCTGTCTTAGTAAACAAGTCAGAATTTCTGTTTTGCATGTGCGCGCAGATAGGCAATACTTTTTCGGATATTAATACAGAAAGATAACAAGCAAACGATATGTGATTCTTGACAATCAACGGGAAACACTTTTTTTATCCTCTGCCATTCGTCGCTTCTATATGATGTTTCTATATTCAATTTATATAGGTCTGTCGATCTACAGTTATATTAAGAATATAAATTTAGAGGAGTAATTGGACACGACCCCCCAACTGATATCATCACTCAAGTAGCAATTTATACCCCCCCCCTCCCAGGTTTATTGTTTTCTTTTCTTTTTTTTTTTTTTTTTTTTTTCATTATGTACATAATGCATCCAACCTTTATCTAATCGCTATTAAGTACATAAAATGCTATATATTACCCCTTTTTGACCATCTTGAGAAATGATGTGACCAAAATACATTTATGTGATGTATATGGCTTTACGGGTATTTTTTTTATGAACTCTCCCCCCCCCCCCCCCAAAAAAAAAAGCTAACTGAAGTCATTGAAAAAACATTTATGACAATCTAGATTATGTTCGGAACTGATCTACATTGCACATATTTTATACTGAGAGGCGCATTGTTAAATCTATTGTGATATTTTGCCAATTTAATTGTCGTCTATCTTGGAAACTTAGCCTCTTATATTCACTATAATAGCTCAAAAAATCATATCCAGTGGAGTAGCTGCCATTAGGCACTTAAGGCACGTGCCTACACTTGATTTTTTTTTCAGAAAAAAAAAATTAGAAACAAAACTGTAAAAAAGAAAGAAAATAATAGTTAACCGACTGTTTCACTGTAGGACTTTTTATAAAATGTCTTGAAAATTTCTATATGCAAGTACATGTCATTAAATATAGATATAAAACTCCCCTGATGCCCACAAGATACGTTATGTGTGGTATTAATTTTCATTTTAATTAATAATTAATTTGAATTAACAGCAATTAAATTTTTTATAGCTGTCCACCTGAATTTACCACTTACCACAGGGTAGACTAGATTAGCTTTTTCTGGATATATATATATATATATATATATATATATATATATATATATATATATATATATATATATATATATATATATATATATATATATATATATATATATATATATATATATATATATACTAGTATCAGATAATATATATATTGACCTCCTTCAGTGGTCCATATCATACTTTCGAATTTGAATGGTGGAAGTGCACGTCTGCTGAACTTTAAATTCTTTTTTCAAACTTTCTTATTAGTATTCTTCGTTAAATTGTGAGACCTTACTTTAGCCAGTATATTTTCTAAATGGCTATAATATGAATAGATGTGAACAACACCCGGTTCTTGTGCATTAATATGAATAACTGAACCCACTTGTTCTAAGGAAAATCTAAAAAGAAAATAAATGAACCCAACGATTTTTACCTTTTCCGTATTATCTTTCCTTGAAAGGTAGCTTGTCTCTTTATTTTAATTTTTCTTTTTTTTAAATAGAATGTCAAAAATATATCTTACTCGATCTTAGGCAACATCCAAACTTCAATAAAGTGTAAACTTAAA